CCCATCTCCTCCTCCTCCTCCTCCTCCTCCTCCTTCTCCTCCTCCTCCTCCTCCTCCTTCTCCTCCTCCTCCTTCTCCTCCTCCTCCTCCTCCTCCTTCTCCTCCTCCGCGAGGCGGGCTCGCACGCGTCTGCACAACCCGTCTGCGCCGCTCCCGCAAAACCGCGGAGGCGCGGGCGGGGCCCCGAAAGTCCTGGCCCGCCAGAGGAGGGCCTGACCGACATGTGCTTCTTGATGGAGCTGGAGCTGGGCCAGCTGCCCAACAAGACCCGCCGGATGGGCGTCATCTCGGGGCTGCCCTGCAACAAGACCTGGGAGGACCCGGAGAGGGGGGGGGGAAGCGTGCAATCCTGCCAACTTGCCGGCTGCACGTAGTTAACCTCTAAAGGTCTTGTAAAGCCCCACACACATGGTGGGAACTACTTATCTTCTGAGCGCCCTCATTGACGGACTGGGGCCCCACCAACAGTGGGAAATTATCATTTCCTCGCGGCACCCGCCGCGCAACAACGACGGCGAAGATGTGACGACGACGACGACGAGATAGAAGAGGAGAAGGAGGAGGAGCAGGAGGAGGAGGAGCAGGAGGAGGAGGAGCAGGAGGAGGAGGAGGGGCGAGTTTTTTCCCAGCCAAGAGAAGCAGGGGGGACCCAAACTGAAGACCTCCTGAGATTAAGAGTGGCCCTTCGCGGGAGTGCCCTCTGGTGCGCCACTTCTGGGGGGCGCCTGGTGTCCAGACCCGAGCGCGCGCAGGCCGCCACTGCATCGCATCGCAGGAGACGATCGGCAGGCCTCGCATCGAAGGCCTGGCTCACCCGGTGCCGCTCTTGCGTGCAGCCGAGTTCGGCGGCGCGCACACGGGGCCTGAGATCCTGGCGCCTCAAATTTTTCGAGGCGGGCGAGGAGGAGGAGGAGGAGGAGGAGAAGTTTTCGCTGAATTTTCGGGCCCCGGGACCTTCACAGCTCGATCCGGCTCGAGGAAGGACGCAGAAAGGTGGGGTCTATAGAGCTCCGGGCGGGATTTTCGACGATGTTGTGACTTGTTCGCTGCGTCGGATCTCAGGGGGGGGGGGGCGCTGGAGGGCGGCGGCTTCCCCAAGACGTCTGGAGCTCCGACCTGTTCGGTGCGTGTGCCCAGCGAGCCTTCGACTCCTCCCCCAGTGGCCGGCTCGTCGCCTGTCCGAGCAGTCTGTGGACGGCCCCGAGGCCCCGGCTTCCAGAGGCCAAAAGGATGACGACAAAATCAGGAGGGAAAAATACACAGACAGAATTCATCGCCGATTCCTTAGAAAATATGGGAAAATATGGGAAGTGGGGGGAAAGGCAAAAACCCAGAACATATGGGAAAGTATGGGGAATGCTGTTATCGGTGTTTAGTTATTTGTGTGTCCCAGGGCCCGTTCAAAAAAGCTGGCCGCTCCGATTGTTGTTGAGGGCGTGGGACGTCCGGGTCTGTGACAAAGCGCCCTGAGATCCTGGCGCTGCAATTCTTTCACAAGGGGCGTTTTCGCTCAACATGCGGGCCCCGGGACCCTCGCAGCTCGTTCCAGCTCGAGAGAAGTGGCGCAGGAAGATGGGGTCTATAGGGCTCCGGTCGCGTTTTTTTTGCGATGTTGCAATTTTTCTGCGACGTCGGATCTCAGGGCGGGGGGGCACTCCTTGTGAGGGGACCGGAAGTTACTGTGGAGGCGGGCCTGTCCCTCTACAGCAGGAATATTCAGAAATAGTAAAAACAGAGTACCCTGGGGACTACTGTTTTTGTAGACTATGTCTGGCTAGTTTTGAATATGTTTTGACTGTTTTCCATTTTTCGCACAACATTCCGCCTGCAGGGGACACGCCCGACCTAATGTTACTGAGATGGCGTCTTGGAAGGCAGGGAGCTTCGAAGAAGCGCCATGCCTTTGAGGAGGCTGCATCCCCCAGGCCCGTGCCGCACCGCCAGCAGGAGGAGGAGGAGGAGGAGGAGGAGGAGGAGGAGGAGGAGGAGGGGGAGGAGGAGGAGGAGGAGGAGGAGGAGGAGGAGGAGGAGGAGGAGGAGGAGAGCCTCGCTGGCCCAGGCCAGCCATTGCACAGACACGTGCTTGTTTGTGAGGCTTTCACAGCGCATCTGCGCTGAAATCCCCCCTGCAGCCCCAACATTTTGGCTCGCAATTTGCAACGGTTGTTTCTGCTCATCTTGCCTGGGCGCGAGAACTCATCGTGAAAGGAGCGCCTGCGCACATCACGGTCGGGTGTGCCGCCGACCAAAGACGAGCTAAAGCAAAAATCAGGATATACCAGTCCTGTGGCGCGGCTTCGATGGTCACTCGTTCTCTTCTTTTGGTTGCTGTGGATGGCATCGCCCAGAACACCCACATGGCAGTCACTGTTGATCGAGACCACTTGCACTCGGATGGTTGCAGTGAAATTTGCCTCTGGCTCGATTCCCCACCGGTGGCGCCAGCGCCGCGTGGTGAGCATCATGGGCGAGGTGCAGGAGCCAGACATGGTCGACGACGTAGAGCTCCAGAACCAGATCGGCAGCATCGACAGCCTCAGCTTCATCCTCTACCTCAGCATTCGGGGTCTGAGGCCAAGGGATCCGAGGATAACTTCGCACCTGAGGAGGGCACGGACAAGCGTTCTGCGGGCCTCGAGTTGCTTCAATCTGGTGTGCCAGTTGGTGCGATCAGCAAGGGCACCGAGGACGGCTACGACGACGTCGTGATCCGTGGGTCCGAGGGTGACTCTTCGCCGGAGGAGGGCATGGTCAGTAGGTCTGCGGGCATCGACTCTCCTCCAACTGGTTCTCTCCGTCGGGACGCGCCAGGATTTCACCCCGCCGCCACGGCTCGCAGTGCCGAGTCCCAGTATGAGCTTCAATCTCAGCCAGAGCATGCAGACCCCGCACAAGTTGTGACTGAAAGCGTACCTGGTCCAGAGTGCATTCAGGCTGCTGAGAACAAGGTTACCATCTTGGCAGAAATTTCGTTGCATCCAGTTTCCCACGATATGAACAGTGCTGCAGCTGAGCAGCTTCTTGCAGCGGTCGAGCGGTTCAAGGTTCTGGAGGCCGAGGCCATCGTTGCTCTTGCTACCGCTGCTACCGCGAGGATTTTCACGCAGACTTCGTCGTCTACCGCCGCCACACCCACTTCGGAAGATTTCTCAGGCCGGGTTGAAGCTGCCAAGAAGGAGTTGGTGAAAGCCAAGATCAAGTTGCGCCGGTGGATTGAACTGTTGCAACCCAGGCGCACGTAACGTTGATATCCTTGTCACTTGATTGTTTTGCGACGCTGGGTACGAGTGCGTAGCATGGCATGCTGTGAGAACGGGCTGTGCAGGTTTGACGCGTCTGACTGTTGCTGGTCGTGGCTCGAATTCCTGGTCCTGGTCCGCGGTTCGGCCCTTGTGGGCCCTGTTTCTGGGGTGGCCCTTGCGGGCTCTGTGTTGCCCAGGGCGCCCTTAGCCCAAGCTCCCCCCCTGCGGGCCCTCCTCCTCGTTTTCTCTCTTCCTCTCCTGCGTCCCCCCTCTTAGGGGGGGTGCGTGGGCTTTGGGCTGCCCTCTCTGTGTGGCTCGTGGTCTGGGGGGTCCTCGTCGCCGCCGTCTCCACCCCGCTCTGTCTCGCCATCTTCCTAGTCGGGGCTTCGACCATCCGCCCTTAATCCCGAGAGAAAGAGAGAGAGAGAGAGAGAGAGTTAGAGGAGGAGGAGGAGGAGGAGGAGGAGGAGGAGGAGGAGGAGGAAGAGGAGGAGGAGGAGGAGGAGCAGGAGCAGGAGCAGGAGCAGGAGAGGGAGGGAGGGAGGGAGGAAGGGAGGGAGGGATGTGAGGCCGCTCTGCGGGAAACCCGTGTCGACCGCACGCGATGGGGGTGGACGGACTCCTGCCGCTGGCCGCGCGTGGCCCGGCGGGCGCCAGTGGCCATGATGGGGCCACGGTCTGAGCACGGCGCGCTCCCGCAGCGTGCGCAGCCGGCACAGGAAGGCCCGCCTCGCCCGCCATGCCAAGCAGAGGGCGGCCTCCGGCAGCACAAGGCCGAGCCGGATGAGCAGGAGGTGTGCAGCGACGAGATGCCGGCAGAGCTCCGCGAACGGCGGAGCAGGCGGGCTCGTCAAGGGTGGCTGCATCAAAATCGGCAGCAGCGGCAGCAGGAGCAGCAGCAGCAGTGGCCGCATCAACATTGGCAGCAGTGGCAGCGCAAAGAACCTTTTCTGGGGCCAGCGCTGCGTGACGGCCAGGGGAAAAGCGGCATGCCAGACCCAGGGCGTGCGAGAAGCGAGGGCAGACCTTACGCGCGCGAGGCGCGGGGCGCATCCACCTGCCAGAACCAAAGCGTGCGAGTGACCACCAGTGGCAGCCGACAGCACAGAGCAAGTAAGTCAGCTGCATGCTCTGTCCTACGTGTGCCAGAGGAGCCCGCAGCGGGAAACCCAGTGTCATCAGTTAACTGTGTGTGTGTCTGTGTGTGTGTGTGTGTCTGTGCGTCTGTGTGTGAGCGTTTGTGCGTGTGTGTGTGTGTGTGCGTGTGTGCGTCTGTGTGCGTCTGTGTGTGCGTCTGTGTGTGTCTGTGTGTGTGCGTCTGCGTGTGTGTGCGTGTGTGCGTGTGTGCGTCTGTGTCCGTCTGTGTCCGTCTGTGTGTGCGTTTGTGTGTATGTGAATCTGCGTCTGTGTGTGTGCGCCCTGGGAGTGTGCGTGTGTGTGTGTGTGTGTGTGCGTGTGTGTGTGTGTGCGTGTGCGTCTGAGTGTGCGTGTGTGCGTCTGTGTGCGTCTGCGTGCGTCTGTGTGTGTGTGTGTGCGTCTGCGTCTGTGTGCGTCTGCGTGCGTCTGTGTGTGTGCGTCTGTGTCTGTGTGTGTGCGTCTGTGTGCGTGTGTGCGTCTGTGTGCGTCTGTGTGTGTGCGTCTGTGTGTGTTCGTGTGTGTGTGTGTGTGCGTCTGTGTGTGCGTGTGTGTGTGTGCGTGTGTGTGTATGCGTGCGTCTGTGTGTGTTGTGTGTGTGTTGTGTGTGTTGTGTTGTGTGTGTTGTGTGTGCGTCTGTGTGTGCGTGTGTGTGTGTGTGTGCGTGTGTGCGGGCGTGTGTGCGTGCGTGCGTGTGTGCGTCCGTGTGCGTCTGTTGTGTGCGTTGTGTGTCATGTGTGTGCGTTTGTGTGTGTGTGCGTTTGTGTGTGTGCGTCTGTGTGTGTGTCGTGTGTGTGCGTGTGTGCGGTGTGTGTGTGGCGTCTGTGTCAGTGTGTGTGTGGTGTGTGTGTGTGTCGGTGTGTGTGCGTGCTTGAGTGTGCGTCTGTGTGCGTCTGTGTGCGTGTGTGCGTGTTTGCGTGCGTGTGTGTGCGTGATGTGCG